AAATATACGCAGGATTGAGAGAGAAAAAGAAACAGCATAGTGGTAAATAAATAGAGAAGCTGGCTGTGGTGGCACACGCGGGTAAGATTTGCTCCAGAGGCAGAGGCAGGTGAATTTCCAGAGAAACCCTGTCTCAGAGAAATAAAAACACAAATAAAAGTAAAAGAAATAAAGTAATAATAGATAAATAAATAAGCCACGTAAAGATGGAAAATACACAGAGAGTCTGAATACTGTATGCTATTGTGTTTTTCAGTTTTTTGATTGCTAAAGAAGGAAAAACTGCTAAAGTATACTTGATTATAAATGCCGCTGAATTAATCCAACTTACATATTTCGAAAATGCTTTGACTTCTAACTTTAAGTATAAGGATATGTTACTTTGGAAAAGATATTTTATTTCTGTTTCCACAGAAAATGGAAAGCTGCAGATTCCTTCCAGGTTTCTGTGGTTTGATGAACCAAGACCCCCGGAAGCAGTGGGCCAGGTGTTCCAACAATTAAGACAGCTAAGATGATGCAGCCTTACAGACCACGAAAATAAGGACTTATACAGGTTTCTGTGTTTTGTCATGATCCCTATGATATGAACAGTGCCCCCATCCAGCAGGAAGCAGTTTGGAATGAGTGATGTCCAAATCCCCATATTGTTTATAAATCTTTGTTTTCATTTAAATAGGGTTGCTTATAATTGGTTAATGATCACAGCCAATCTCTTTTTAATGGTAAAAGGGTAATTGTGGTATGGAAATGAATACTTGGTATGGTTTTTCATTTATTGATACAAATTCAAGGTCAATTTTGTGATGTGTATATTTCTCCTCTTGATTAAATATTGTGCTTATATTGATCTTTTAAAACATAATGCATAATTGAATACAGACTATAGATAGTTACTTAAAATAGTCAGAATTTATAATTAGGTTTCCTAGACATACAGAGGTATATTTGAGATAGATAGTCTTCAAACCTTTCAAAGACCTTCAGAAAATGGCATTTAAAATGGTTTAGGGTTTTTCTTGACGATGAGAAATGTCTGCTCCTGGCATACCAATTACATCTGAGAGGAAGATAGGCATCGAAGAAACTTGTTATGGAGTTTGCTTTCAACATGACAAGATTAGCCATTTGGGCAAGAAACTGCTCTTGCCTGGACCGCTTGACTGTTGCTGTATAATCTGGACATGCAGGACCCATAGGAAAGTGACTGCTAAACTCAAATAGTCCTTCAGGGTTCCTGCTTCATGGAAGAGTCTACAAGACTTTCTGCAGGACACAGAAAAATGAATGACAGACTGCCAATGCAGATGGACAGTTTGAAATTTCCTGCTTTGCTGAGAAGTCTTCCAGACACACTGTGGCCTATGGGCTGAAGATGGATGCCCCAATGTTACAGAGGAACTTCGGGTGACTGTCCAGGTAGCGAGATGTCTCTGTCAATCCTAATGTTTATATATTATCCTTCTGTGGTCTTTGATGGAGTTGAAGACAGATAGTTATAATTATAGTTTTCCTTGGTTATAAAAGATAAGCTACTTTGGACTCACGAGGATGGGATAGATGATATTTTCTTTAAATCTTGCTGATTGTTGATGGACAAAATATTGTAACTGTGTTCTTGCTTGATAGCTGTTCTGTTATATATAATTGACTATGTTGAAGTTAAACCTTTCTCTTATTTCAGACAGAAAAGAGGAGATGATAGGAGATGTCATTCTGAAATCTGTCTCTTATTGGTTGTTGAATAAAGCACTGTTGGCCAATAGGGAAGCAAAATAGGTGGGACTAGGAGTCAAGGAGGACTCTGGGAAGGAGAAACACAGGGAGTCATCATGTAGCTGCCACAGGGGTAAGAAGTCTGGACCCTTTTCTCCCATAAGAGAAATACTTAGATTAACAATTATGGAGTAAATACTTAAGTCAGAGCTAGCCAGTAAGAAACAAGCAAGGTCGACAGTTTCATAATTAATATAGTGTCCTGTGTGTTCATTTGGGACTGATGGGGCTCTGGGGCCAGGCTGGCAGGAAGACTTCTCTCAATAGCTGGGCGTGGCACACACCTTTAATCCCAGCACTCAGGAGACAGAGGCAGGTGGATCTCTGTGAATTTGAGGCCAGCCTTGTTTATATGGCAAGAGTGAGTTCCAGACTAGCCAAGGTTACCACAGTGAGTTCCTGTTTTAAGAATAAATAGCCAGGCATGGTGGCCCATGTCTTTAATCTCAGAACTTGGGAGGCAGAGGCAGGTGAATCTCTGAGTTTGAGGCCAGCCTGGTCTACAAAGTGAGCTCCAGGATAGTCAAGGATACACAGAGAAACCCTGTTTGGAAAAAACCAAAACCAATCACTCAACCAATCAGTAAGTATTTAAAACGGATATTGGTGGGGATTCAGCTCAGTCTGCTTGCCTAGCAAACCCAAGGTTCTGAGATTGCCTCTCAGCTTCCGGTTAAAAAGGAGCTGAGGGTACAGAGCTGAGAAGCAGACGGGCCAGTGGCAGGTCTCCTTTTCTGCCACCATGGTCTAGCCTACAATGCCCAGGGGTTCTAGAACACTCCATTCTATCTTACCTGTGCAATGACATGGAGGGCATTTGTCAAGAGGGAAGTATAGGACAAGTCCAGTGCCATGAGCTTGATAGCACTGTTCACCAGGCCCCTGGTGTGGGCCTCCATGTCCTGACTGAGCTCTGCACGGCAGAACAGCCTGGCCCGAGAACTCGTGTTCCCCATGGCCATTCCAACACCACCATCAGAGGACAAGTTGTCTTCTGCAACCAAATCCTTAGAAAAGTTCTCACGTGTCCAGTGGTTTTGTGTATGGCAGTTGGTTCATAGTCGGCAGCAGATAGCAAGCGATTTCATGGGATTCCTCCCGATGATGCAGAAAACTGTATCTCAGATAAACAGTATCGCACCCCCCCTCAATATTATCTTTTTAATTCAGTAGAGAATTTGTTAATTGCCATTTTAAAGGGGGGCATCTTTAGCTTGGACATGTGGATCTGGTAGGGAAAGAGGCTATGAGTAGTGAGAGATCCAGCTCAGTCTGAGCAGGTGGGGCTGTAACCCTGCCTTCCCCCATGAGGTATCACCAACTCCATTTCAAAGCAGAGGCGGTAGTCTCCCTCCAAGGAACACATGGGGCAACTGCATGCCAATGGGGAGACAGGAGAGGAAGTGAAATAAATGATCTCTTTGACAGAGACCTGAGTGCAGCCACAACTGGGCCATTAGAGAATTCTGAGAATTCCGTGCAGCACACTCAAGCCACGAGAGACACACTGACAGAGGAAACCAGCCCAGGAATGAAGCATCACAGGACTGTGAGCACAGGGCCACAGCACTCAATGTTTTGGGTCTACCAGAAGGTGTCTGTTAGCACAGTGCCGCCTTTGGAGAGGAAGGGACATGAGCCAGGGAGAGTGTTGAGTATGTGAGATTTCAAAGCCCTGTCCTAGAAGGGATCTGGGGTCAGAGAGCTTGGAATCTGTAATACCTTCACTTACACACACACACACACACACACACACACACACACACACACACACACACACACACACGGGGGGGGGCATAGGGTGGAATGGGATTCAGCAAAAGGACTCTGTTATTCAACAAGGAACTGTAGATCTGCAGGGGGCAGTAATGAGTGCCCAGGCCATTCCATCCACCACAATGTAAGTTATATCCTGTTATGCCTAGCTGTGAAGTTGACATGCTGTGGGGTCTCAGTTCTGCCACTAGTTGTATATGGGGCACTGGACAGGCTGCCTATTGGTCTGTGACTCAGTTTCCTCACCTGTTAAATGGGGTTAACAGCAGTGCTTATGGTTTACAGAGCTCACTAAATGTGTGTCATTAAATGACACAACTCTGAAGAAAGACAGACAGGAGCCTTCTGGTATGTAGCACCTCAACCTCAAAGTCCCTGTTATGATTTCACCATTGGCATTCAACATTTTACTACAAGTCCTACCCAGAGTATAGAGAAAAGGAAAGAGCAAGAAGATACATTTCAATCAGAAAGGAAGCAATCCCATACACAGCAGCCCCTGAAAGAGCTCAGCATCTAAGAGTAAACTTGTCAAAGAGATGAGAGACCTGTATGCCAAAAGCTAAGGACAGTTTAAAAAGAAACCAAAAAGTAAACAGAAAGGCATCCCATACTCACGGATAGGAAGATTTGTCATGATGATTCTGCCACTCAAAGGGATCTACAGATTCAACACCAGGCAGCTTAGGGAAGCAAAACCAAAATCTCTAGAAGCTAAAACATCAAGAACTTACAATATCTAACAACAGAAATATTTTTCTTCAGACATCTGGAGATGGAACATTGCAGGGGTTCTTGGCATTTGTCTGACCTGGTAACATGAGCCTGGGGGAACAAGAAGGGAATGGACCATTTCTTCCCAGCCACTTTATTGTTAAACTGTATCTTGTCAGCATTGCCAGACTTGACCAAAGGACAACTCAGCTCCCCTGGCACAGTCACAGAAGCTGTTCCTTCACCCAGAAGGATACAGATTATTTGGTCCCAGAGGAATGTCTGGAGCCACAAGAGCTTGAGCACTGCTCATGGGGAGCCTGCTCTGTGAGGTGCAGATCTGCCAGCCACTCCTTCCACCTCACCCACAAGTGACAGGATTCTCTGTGTAGCCCTGGCTGTCCTGGAACTGGCTCCGTAGACCAGGCTGGCCTGGAACTCACAGAGATCCGCCTGCCCCTGCCTCCTGAGTGCTGGGATTAAAGGTGTGCATCACTATGCCTTTATAAAATTTAATATGTTTAAGTGTGTCCTGGCAATGCTATTTATACAAATGACTTACTTGTTTTGGGAAAATACATATATACACACATACATACTGACAGAGAGAAAGAAAGAAATGTCTAGAGGTTGTGTTGAGTCTGCCTGCAGAAACCCTTGCTTTCCCTCTGACCACAAAGAAAACTCTACTTTTCAAGACTTTGGGGAAAAAGAGACTGCAAACTTTCATATTGTTATTTTACAACATAATTTTATTACATAAATTCTTATTTCTACCTCATTTAATCACTTTGTGTGAGTGTGACAGAATGTGTGCCATAAACAACCCAATTGGTTATTTTGCTCAGGGTTTCCGGGATCTTGGCCCATTGTGGCAAGGAAGGCTCAGGGAAGCAGAACATCTGAGTGTGAGCTCCTTTTGTTCCTGTCCATGGGGCTCCAGCTTATGGCGATGGCTCCACCCACATTCTGGGTGAATCTTCCTCCTTAGTCCTCCTGGAAATATCTTCACAGACAAGCCCAAGGTGTGCAGAACTAACCTCCTTGTCTTAATTTAATCAAGCTGTCAATCAAGATGAACCATGTTGTCTTATGAATATTTTGTAGCAATGTTTTAAATTTTTTTATTACATGTTAACAAACTGTAGCAGTGGATATGGGAAATCTTGAGGCCAGAAGATACATTAGCTGTGGCACTAAGGGTACATGGCTTTTCACAGAGCATGGAGAATCTGGGTGGGAAAGTGAGGCCTCAGCTCCAGGGTCCATGGGCGCCTGTGGCCCCTGTGGTGCAGATCTGCTGTGAGTCTCACATTTTGCAGTCTTGTGGTGTGGGTCCCTTCCAGGTTTCCACTGTATAGCCACTGGAGCCCTCCAGTGGAGCTCTGGGCTGCCACACTCAGTGAAGGTCAGCTGTGTACAGTAACATTTACACAGGCCCAGTCTTGTAGTTTCTGGCCACATTAAACCACTCTCCTGGAAGCATTTCTCTCCCTTCCAGTCTGATGCAGGTAGCTCTGGAGCTCTGAGAGGATCCTGGTTGCTGCCTCAAGAATGGGAACTGTCAAAGAACGAAATTCAGCAGGTAGGATGTGTCAGGGAGCTTTGAGAAACACAGGGTCATATGCACAGAAAATTATTCATCCATCATGAGTGTAAATATCTTGACTCTGGTCACTGCACTGGATAGCAGATAAGAGCTCTGTGGTGGCCCTGACCCCAGCTAGAGAGGCCAGCACCAGGGACAAGGGAAGGCTGTCAGCAGAGGGGAAGCGGTTGTCAGTTTGAAGTGTCTCTCATATGTTTAGACAGTGTTTTGTGGGGTTGTGGAACCTGAGGCTTGTGGACTAGTTAGCAGAAGTAGGCTGTGTGTATGTGTGTGCCCATCGGGGTATGGGCAGAATTGGAGGTGGTATCTGCTCTCTGATTCCTGATCTACAAAGATGTGAGGGCCTCTGCCGTATGCTCCCTCCATCAGGGGCTGACCCACCACTCACTGTCCTGATGGACCACTCTCTTGAACTGTGAGCTAAAACAAACCCTCACCTTTAAGCTTTTCTTTCAGGTTTTCTGTCCCCGGGACAAGAAAAGTAACTGGTACAAAGAGGAGCCACGGCACAGCGCTGACAAGGCCTGCAGAGGGAGAGTGAGGCTGAGCAGGTGCTGATCTGTGCTCACTCTTATTACTCGTCTTGGGCACTGTTCTATTGCTGTGGAGAGACACCACGACCAAGGCAACTTATGAAAGAATCAGCACTGCCTAATCCTAAAATATGCCCAGAAGTTGGGGAGAAGGGGTTGGTTCCAGCTACATTTCAAAATAAAATAGATCTGAGAGAGGAAAATATTTCTGAGCTGAGAATACCTGCTTCCCAGGAGCCCTACACTGGGCTTGATCCTGTGTGAAGTTTGTTGTACATGTGGCCTTCTGCAAGTCCTGCCATTCAAAGTTCAAGGCCTAGATTTCTTTCTTTATAATCTTGTTTACTGGATCCTTGGTGTGTCTCAGCCTGATTCCAAATGGAGACGACAGAGTTACAAGAGCCTCTGTCCCCACCCATGGTCTGTCTCCTCGCAGGTCTCTTTGGTTGGGTATAGAGTGTCCACTAGCCTCAGCAGACAGAAGTGATTTCATTAAGCTGAAGGAAGAGCCATATTAGCAGTGCCGGGCAGAGTGGAGTGCACCGTGAGGCCCAACAGACACCAGATCTTCTCTCAGAAGCAGGTGGTGCAGGCGACTCTGGGCAATCAGAGTGAGGTCTCTCTTAGGATGGGTGTGTTCAGAACCCCTGTCCATTTCCACACCTCTACCCAGCAGCTCTCCACTCCAAATACCCAGGAGTCCACCCCTGCCGGCAAGGGGCTATCTCTGGAGCAGGAATAGCCCAGCATGAAGAGAAGTCCTACAGCAGGCATAAGGGTCCAAATCAATGTGATGGTAACAAGAAGCCTGGGTTTCCTCTAGCGCAATGGGAGGCCCTAAGGGCCGTGATGCAACCTCTCGATGTGGTGGCCCTGGTCGCACTGTGCAAGAAAAACGAGCATTGGGTAGGCTTAAATGGGAGGCGTCTCGCAGCCATGGAGTTGCTATGCTGGGATGGAAAACTGGGAGGAGCCCTTTGGACGATCTCTAGGGAGTTACCTGCTGCCTGAGAAAACTGGAGCGGAGCAGGAGAGGCAGTCCGCGATGGGGGTGAGGGCTAAGGAGAGGTGTATGTCTGCGGGTCTCACCCCAGCCCTTAGTCTGTTTAGGAAGTACCGTAGCAGGTTTGAAACTCCACCTGTTAGATCCTTTTCTCCATCCATGTCTGCTAAGGGATCGACTCGGAAGGTATTTTCAAAGCATTTGTTCTGTAAACAGATGCCCAGACCCTTGTCATCAGTCACTCGATCTGCCCACCTTTCTCAAAGGTTTGATTTTTCACAACTTGTAGGTAACAAAATGGCCTTCAGCACCCTCCAGTTTGGGCTGTTTTCCTGATTTTTTTTTTTTTTTGAACCGCTAAGTAGTATCACTTGCCACGCCTGCCTGACAGTCCCAGAAACAGCCAGCCTCCCACTCAGATCACCTTCCCCGACTAGGGCGCTGTCCAGCTCCTGGGTCCTGGGTCCGCGGCCCCAGCTCCGGCCGTGCTCAGGCCGGGGTGCGCCCCTCTCGCTGTCTGCTTGAGGCCGCGGCGACCAGCCCGGTAGCGCCCCACGCGGATGGGCTGCTCCACCACGCGGGCTCCGGCCCGGGTCACCGCGCCAAGGAGTGGCAGGGGCGCAGTCCCGGGTACGCGCAGGGGAGGGGAGGCCCGGGGCGGGAACAGCTGGGGGCGTGTCCGGGAAGGGGAATCCAGCCTGGGAGGGGCGCGAGTGGTGGGGGCCGAGCGCCGGGCCGGCGGGCAGCGCGGCCCCTGAGCCGCCCGCGTACGTCCAGCGTGCCGCCTTGCCGGCAAACAGCAGACCAACCGAGGCCCCGCCCGCGCGCGCGCGCCGCGTGTCCCCGCCCGCTCGTCGGTCGGAGCGCGGCTGGCGGCGCGGTGGCGGCTCGGCACGGCGGCGGCCGGGCGCAGGCGGCCGGGCGGAGCAGCAGACTGCGCCGAAGCCGCCCCAGGCGTAGGCCTCGCGGCGGCGGAGAACGCCGGACTCATCGGGGCCCGCGGCCACCCGCGCCTTTCAATGGGCAGCTCGCACTTGCTCAACAAGGGCCTGCCGCTCGGTAAGGCCGCGCGCGCGCATTTCCGGCTGAGGGCGGGGGGGGGGGCGGGGGCGGGGCGGCCGGGCGCGCGCGGCGCTGGCTTTGTGTGCGAGTGCGCGTGCGCGCTCGGTGAGCGCGCCGAGGGAGGGGGCGGTGTGGCCACAGGGAGGGCGCATGCGCGAACTGCTGCACATGAGTGCGCGTCCCTATTTCCCCCTGCCGGTTCGCGACCTGTGCAGGTGACAAAGGGCCTGTGGCGCTTCGACCCGGGCTGTGACCGAGCTGGGCCTGTCTTCCTGGCGTATGGCCCCGCGAGGCTCCTTCTCCTGGACATCCGGGTGGGACCTAGGTGTTCCCGGAGTGACGAGCCTGCAAATCCCGCCTGAGCCTCGGGTTGGCGGATCCGGGAGCGGGCAGTTCTCTAGAGGTGGCACTGAGGGAGCATGGGTGGCATACACGCCCATCACGCCTCCAGGCGACTTAGTGATGCTCAGCTTGGCCCCTGGCCTTGGACCATTTAAGTTTTGTATCCATTTGTTAAAGTCCTTAAACCACGGGGGTCCTGCTGGTGGAGGGCAGTCTTTGCTTGGCGGCGTTGCTGGCTGCGTAGCCTGGCGCACGCGCAGTGAGACGGACCCCACCTTGGGGCGGGGCAGCCCTGAGGTTGCAGAGCCCAGAGGAGCTTTTGCCCACCGTCCAAGCACCCCATGTATCCCTCCCCCCCTCTCTTTTACGTTAGTAATAAAAGGGCTTGCCTGAACCCATCTCTGCCCTCACAAGGACACTCACTGCCTTCTCCCTCATAGCCCGAAAGACGGCAGAGGAAGAATCCTTGCAGTGTGTGCTGCCAGCAGGAAATACGGAACTGTGGGCAGGAGGGAAAGAGGGAGGCGCCCTGTGATGGCCTACTGCACCTCTTATCACACAAGGCCGTTTCGCAGGCCTGCTTCAGGGTGTGGCAGGGTATGGGCCTCCAGGCCTGCCCTCCATCCTGGGCTGGTGGTAGGTACCCCTCCCCCAAGACTGCACCATTTCAGAGCTGTAACTCCCTGAAGGCAGTGTGTGTGTGTGTGTGTGTGTGTGTGTGTGTGTGTGTGTGTGTGTGTGTGTAGCTGCTCTGCATCCAAGCCATCAGGGTTTTAGGCTAGAATTTTCAGTGGGGTGGGGAGGGCAGGCCCAGCTCATCGCCTTCCAGAAATAAGGAGGACAACCTTCATCTTGTCCTTGCCTGTCAAACCTTTCCTGGGGCCATGACCCTTGTCCTGATGAGTTTGTGATTGGTTAGGACAAATAAGCTTTCTAGGAAGGAGAAGGGAAGGAGTTGTCCAGTATTCAGGAAGGTGAACCCTGTGAGCCAGGGTGTCAGCAAGATGACACCAAAATTTTCCAGCAGCAGAGAGCATGTGTCCATTATAAACAGGAGTATACAAGATGCCCACCCCAGTGTAGCTGGCAGAACATCAGGCCCACTGCTATAGAGTGGAGCCAACATCTTTGGAAGAACGGTGGCCATGGGCATGAATATGATCCTGGGCTCATGTGTGATCTCTCTGTGTTTCCTCCACAACATGGGGTGAATAGCTGTGGGATGTGCCAAGTCCAGGGACAGCTTTGTGGGTAATGTGGGGTGATACTGTTCTCCGGAACTGTGTGTGCTTCCTTGTCTTGTTACTATTTGGGCTGGCAGCTGTGGTTTGAGGCTGCCCTTTCTCCGCTCTGGAGCTTGGTCAGGCATGGCCCTGTTTCCAGGATGTTTGAGGCCACCATGTCATGCTAGTTGTACATAATGTGCACTGGAGCCTGTAGATTCTTGGTGGGACCTCAGTGATACAGCTCTTACTCTGGCCTCTTCCCTTTCTTCTGTCACCTGGCCCAGCAGTGTGCTTAGCCTCTCCAGATGGGCATCAGGCTCAGAGAGGTCCAGTGTTCCCCTCAGGGTTTCAGGTAGGATCAGGTCCTTGTGTCCCAGCCTTCCAACAGCTTACTGTTTCCTGCCTGCCTCTTGAACTAGAGTGGGCGTGCCCCGCACTGTAACTGGCAAGAGGCTTCTGTGACCATTCATCCTCAGACCTAGGTACTGCTGAGGACCCTCTTGGAGTAGAACCCCGCCATGTTACCTGGTGGTCCTGTGGCTCCTTGGCAAGATGTGTGAAGCAGAAATGTCCTGAGGTCTTATTGCATGGCTTATATTAGCTTTCATCCTGCTAGTGGCAGGAAAGGCCTTGGCCTGCATGGTGCTGGGCAGGGTGGCCTGCATGGTGCCTCTGAGCCCTGGGATGCAGGCTGCTGTACGAGAAGTAGCAGTTTGTGTTGAGTTGGTTTTGTAGTTCAGCCGTGTCACTACAAGTCTGCCAGCACCATTCTGTATCCTCGCAGTCACTCTCATGGTGACTGAGTTCTGCAGGGTAGACATGCTCAGCTCCCTGAGTCTTCCAGCATTCATGCTCCAGCTGCAGCACCCTTTCCTCATGGTCATAAACATGTGCCATCTTTCCCAGAGCCCAGGCTGCGTACTGTGGGGGGCTAGCTTTAGAAGTCATGCTCATTTCCTATAATGTTAGGACTTTTAGTATACCCTTTTGTCAACCTTGCCTGATGTCAGCAAGGTCTTTGTGTGTCCTCCGGTCAGTGTCAGACCTGTGTTATATAGGCAGTGTAGGAGCTTGAAGACCTGTGTTATATAGGCAGTGTAGGAGCTTGAAGACTTTGGGGAACAGGGCTGAATTGGCCTGGGTGGCTCAAGGAAAAATCTAGCAGGCTTGGGATGATGTCGTATGGACCAGGGGTGTGGGTTTTATAGCTCGTGGGGAGGCATAGATAGTGGAGACCCAGATTTGTACCCCTCCCTAGGCATCGCTGTCCATTTTTTTAGTTCTGAGTGGCTATGGTGCTCTTCCTGCCATTGTCTCCAGTGGAGATACACACAGGGCTGCTTTGTCTGGAGACAAGTCTTCACTGGAGCTTTCTTAAGTCGCATGACCTCTGTGTCCTCTACAAGACCAAACTTCCCTACAGCATTGGAAAGACGTCCTACTAAGAAGGGCGGGGAGGGGGCGGGGGCCCTAATAAGCTGGACTATCGCGCACAGTCTGTGCTCTTCCAGTGACGATAGTGTTCCAGCTGGCTTTGAAATGGACAGGTGTTCTCAGGTGTCAAGGCCTGAGATGTGTGTTGTAACACACTGGCAGACAGACACACAAAGTTGGCCAGCATTACTGAAAATGAGTCTTGGTGGCATATGCATGCCCTTTGTCATGGTTTCTGTTCTGTGCCTTCCCGGTGTGTGCTCTAAGTCACACTCTTCCTTGTCATGGACACTTCCCTCCGTGTTGTCCCATTGTCCGGCCGTGCCTTGGGCAGTGCCTGTCCTGAGGCCCTTGCAGTGGTGTTTGCCTACCCTACTCCATGTCGCCCTTACCTTCCACTCCTTCCTTGCCGGCAGCGGCTCTTCCAGCCTTGCCTGTAGCTGACTGAGTGGCAGGTTCTGTCCTCTGGCCTCCAGACCTGGGTAGGGACTAGCCCGAAGACAGCTCTGTCACCAGAGAGGGCTGTTTGAGAGTCGAGCTGGCTTTGTACCCCAGCGTGATCTGGACCTAGAGGTGAGAGGAGACCCCTCTGTTGCTGCAGAGTCCCCTCCCAGAGTATTTTTTTTTTTTTTTTTTTTTTTTGGTTTTTTCGAGACAGGGTTTCTCTGTGGCTTTGGAGGCTGTCCTGGAACTCGCTTGGTAGTCCAGGCTGGTCTCGAACTCACAGAGATCCGCCTGCCTCTGCCTCCCGAGTGCTGGGATTAAAGGCGTACGCCACCAACGCCCGGCCCCAGAGTACTTTTAAAGAGGATGGCGGGGGCCCGAAGGGTCGGAGGGGTCTGGTTCTAGTTGAGAAGTGCTGGCCATTCCCAGGAGGAATTTTTTGGTTGGTTGTTTGAGACAGGGTCCCTGAGCCCCCATGGCCCAGATAACTGCTGCTTTTGCTATTGGAGATGATGGTGGCCCGTGGGTGGCTCCTGCAGGGCACAAACACCCCTTGCCTCAAATCTGTCAGAGCTTCCAGCTTCCTGACTTCAGGTCTTTTCTGCAGTGGCGCCTTAGCGCCCTCTGCTGGGAAAGTCTATCCTGGCACCTACTAAGGGGAGAGTTGGGCCTGTGGCAGGTGCCTGGCACGGGCAGGACTGTGACTCAAGGGCATTGTTGCTGCTTTTCTGACAGGTTCTTCATTGTCTGTGGTGTTTCTCGCTGCTGGGACTATCCTGGAAGCCAGCACTGGGAACTCACAGAGAGAGCTTGTGAAAAAGTTTGTGAGCCTTCTGGAAGGAGCTGTCCCCAAATACACTGGGTGCTGGGTCCTAAGCCCCCGACCTGCCTTGGATTGTTGGCCACATGTGGCCTTTCTGGATGAGCTCCAGAGCCTGTGCTGACAAGTGATCTTGTCTCTTGGTTGTGTTGAAGGGTGTCATGTCCAGACTATCCTAGCCAGCCTGATGTTCAGCCAAACTGAAGGGTTGGTCCCTGTATGGGATCCACATGTTAGGAGCTGGGACCAGGGCTTTGGCTGCTCAGGGACACACTTCAGAGGCTGGGTTTTTGTGCTCATCTGTAATAACCTGAGTTTCTGGGGTATAGGCCCTGCCAAAATGTGTTTGGGTGTCATGGCCTCCATTTTCAGCTCAGCCAGGCAGCACGTTCAGGTGAACCAAGTGACCATTAGCTGTGCAGGGACGCTGGGAGAAGGGACTGGGAAGGAAGTGGGGCAGAAAGAAAACTGGAGAGCCAGCACCTGGCGAGGTTTCCTGATAGTTTTGTTAGAAGATCCATGTTGGGGCCTGGTTGGGACGGCCTTAGATGTCAGGCAATGCAGATATAAAGGAGAGTCCCAGGGAAGTTGGTAGGCCCCTTTCTGCAGTTTCACAGCCCTGTACCCAATGCTGGCTGCCTTTGCCTCCCATTTTGAGAACAT